CTTGAAAACAATTTGGAAAATTAGTACGGCTTTGTGATCCATTAATTTGTGATTAATGCTAATTAATCACCTAATTATGCTTTATTAACTTTTAAGCATAATACTTAATTACCAAAATTATTCCGGACGTAAACGGTACGTCGAAAATATTTTTTTTTGGTAATCTCGACTGAAATGACTGAAATAATTTAATTCCGAAAATAATATCGGATCTAAAACATAATTAACATAACGGAATATTGCTGACTGAATAATTAATTCCTGACTCATTAATTAATTAAACGAATCGGAATTAAATCTAGAAACTTATTCAGTTACCAAAATAAGTAAACCGAATAACTTATCGACTAATAGTAGAACTTAGAATATAACTGACTGATTAATCTGAACTTGAACATGAGCATGATTATTTATTAATAAAGGCTAGCTTAGAACTAAAAGCTAGTACTTTCCTTTATTAATAAAATACGGGGCGTTACAATCCACCCCCCTTAAAATATTTCCGTCCTCGGAAATACTAAAACTGGAATGTACAAGCTTAACTTAAAGCTTATACTTACTGTTACATGACTTGAAAATTCAGTATTTTAATACTGAATAATAGACTTGATCTGAACTGAAGATACACCAATTCACAAATAAGTGAATTGTTAATTACTGCTGACTGAGAATGGACACTTTCTAAAATAAAGTGTTCCACTTGATAAAACATGATCTCAAAACGAAACTCTGAAGCGTATTAGTCATCATCTTCTGATTGCTGGCTGATCTACAGTTTGAACGCTGGTTGTGAAGACTCCCGTCGTAGGTACACACGGAAGATTCCAGAGATTCACATATGCACAAATGAGGATAACTAGCTATATTGGTAATTACCTTTCATGAATGTCTGCTCGACAACGCGGCACATCGTTCGCGGCACATTGTAATGCGGCACACCTGCTCCTCATCAAGTGAGTGCGGCACGCCTGCATACAGCACCTGGAGAACATTGCACCTGCGTTGCAATCTGAACGTATCTATACCTCAAGCAAGTAACCTCAATATACTTTAATACTAACTCTCTGTAATCTCCCAGTGTACTGTGACTCAAGCATGGCATCTTTGAATGGAAACGTCGGGTTGTCGTCATGGCACGATCTTTTGCTATCGATTGGCCCTTCTTCGTCGCGGCGTATATCAACCTGTGGTACCTGCAACTGTTTACTTCTTCCGAGGTTAAACTTAACCTCAAAAAGAAGTCCATCATGAATGAATATCTCCCCCGATTTCTCAGATTCTTCAGAATTTAAGACTCGAGGCCCTGACATACTGAAAATGATAGATAAGTCTTTTCTTATTAGACAGACTATTCTTGATTTTTGACATGACTGGCCTGAATATTCTCATGACTGAATAACCATGACTTGACTCTTACATGACTGAATCATCTTTGTCTGAACTTTGAAACTATCCCGAGACAACTAAATAGTCGCTTCGAGATTGAAAACGTGATATTTACTGACTTTACTTGACTTGATAAGGTACGACTTTAAGTTTCCAGGTAAATTTGGACTAATGGTCTGTACATCAGACCGCCACATTTAGCCCGACTGAACAACTATTATACGTCGACCTTACATCATGAACATAAACTGTAAATCGTAAACATGAATTTATAACTTTGTACTGTATAGGGCTGCTCCAGTATCAACTGGTCCCGCAAGTACACAGTAATTGGCTGATCTTGATCTTTGAAAATCATAACTTGAAATATCATGACTGATAAAATATCTGACATGACTGACTTGAAAGGTTGTTATTACATGAAATCATATTACTCCGATTCCAGCTTCAAGCCTCCATGGTATACCCGGCTGAATGGCTCTTATTTCAAGCCTCCATGGTAACCCGGACTATTGACTCTTATACACTGGGAACCGTTACCTCAACAATAACTTGAGAATTATAACAACCTTTAACATGGAAATTTTAGCCTTGACCATGATTTACTGATCTGACTTAGGAAATTTGAGTCTAGTCCTCGAATTAAATCAAGGAATTTCTCCCTGAAGTCTGCCAATTGATTGGCAAAATGGCAGTTTTCGATAGAAATATCTGAGAAACATGATTATTAAGATTTGTTTAGCACAAGTGCTTACAAATCACCTGACAAGTTGCTAACTTGACTTGAATAAATCTAGCTTAATCCCTTTCTAAGGTTCTGAATCCACTCGTCCACGATACGGGGATCTCCCTGCCCAAAAAATTTCTCAGCATGATAGTCGCAAAACTGTGCGACTACTGTGGCCTGAGTAGGAGCCGGGTGATCGGGTTCCCTACGGGGCAGCATCTGAACATTGAGAAAGTTTAACATTATTGAATACGTGATAATATTCTGACTGATTACTAAGGCACACAGATCTCTTGACGAGTTGCCAAAATGGCCGATAAATACTGACGTGAAGCCTGAGGAACTCTAGAGTCATATCGGAAGATATTAATTTCTAGAGTAATGAATGTACTAAATTCTAGAGTCATATCTGAACTCTAAAGTCTGATCCTGATTTGAGCATCTTAACTAAATCCTGATCCATAATTTCTGAGCATAGACAAAGTAATATGTTTATAACTGAAAACATAAATCAGCACTTACCTGTAGTCGACGGGGCGTGAGCATGACGGTTCAGGTTTTTCTGAAAATTACTGACTGAAAAACTTTTCAGAGACGCAGAAACGTGCTCTGATACCATTTGTAACACCCCGCCTTATCGTGAAATCTGAGTGCGAGAATTTCGCAAAATTATTTAAAAATAACTATTTTTACTTTGCGAAAATTGATTCGGGGTGCTACCGTAAAAGGTGACTTATTTTGGAAAACCTTTATCTTAATTTTTTAATAAAATCATATGGTTTACTAAAAGCATAAATTTTTCCAAAATCTGATCAAAAGATAAGTTCGTCAACATCAAAATCAGCGGAAACGTGATATCGTCAAAAATATATACAATCATAACATAAAAGTCCTGAAGCATCCATCATCTCACGCGCCTGTCCTGACATCCTGACCTTAAAAACATGATAAAAATGGGAAGTGAGCATTATGGCACCGTGCTCCGTGGAAACTCATACTAATGTAAACATTGAAAATAATAACAACATCATGATGTTGGCATATACATAATCTGAACATGAAACCGGTAATAACATGAACATGAATCTGATATCATCACGTGAACGTGAACCATGACCGTTACCTCATCTGCCGGCACAAACTAAT